AAGCAGGTCTCTTCCGAAACTGTTTCTTGTTTCAGGCTTTTCTTTTCAGAGCTTCGATTCGTCATATGACGAGCTTCAAGTGCCGGAGAATCTACACCGCCTGAGTGTCAAGATTCAGTACAAAGCCCACAAAGGAGCTGAAGTCGGGTACGAACCTTCATGTTGAACTCAGTGGGACGAGGGTGTACATAAACATCTTCGATCTGAGAACACCAATTCCTAATGGGAGGATGTTTTTGAACAAGGACTGTTTTCATAATAGTACTGCTCCCCATGCTTTGTTCTCAGATCTTACTGTATCTGTATGCTTCTGCTATATTTCATTGGTGCCTTTTTTATTGCAGGAGTAGCTCATGGACCGAACGGCCTCTAGATGAACATAGAATATTATGTAGTTTTGATTTACCTACTCTACCGAACGACTCACCGTCTGAGACGCCAGATGACGACATGCGATTGCAAGGGTCGATAGCATGCGACGGTGAGCAGAACTCTAACATTTTAAAAATGCATTATTTTTGGATTTTAAAGGTGTTCAGCTGGGTGTGGTAGTCTGCAGATGTTCGGACCCATTTCGATCTTCCGATATTTTTCATCGTTTTGCAGGGGATTTCATCGTTCTGTATATTGGAAAGCGAGATCACTTCCATCCTTTGCTCAGCTATCAAGCATACAGTTATAATGCGCGGAAAACGCTTTAGTAATGTGGGCGTTGTTCGACTTGAAGGGGCATTCTGCATGTTTGCTATTTTCTTCTGTTAGTTCATGTTTAATAACAGGTCTCAATTCGCTCGTTACTTGCAATTTCCTGCGAAGTTGCCTAGTGACACGATAGGACCCCTTTGGCACAGAAATTAAGACGGGGTGGTCTTCACAGCTTATCTGATACCGTTCGGTGCCCGCTAAGCTCGACTGCGCCATCTTATGGTTTCAAGTCTGCGCAGCATCGCACTGAACGCGCTGTCGTCACAAACATCGCCGTGACATACATTCGCAATTTTGCTTGTGGTACGATGGCACGACAATAACAACCGTGGCGAGAGGGATAAGAGACCATGTCCCTGCAGCTTGCAAATTCAGAAGAGATTCATTTTACTCTCATGATGGGAAGCTCAGCCACAGTCGATGATTCCCTAATAGTTACATCCCAGTCCCCATCTCCTTTTGGAAGCACGGCCAGGCATATGAGGGCTGATGGTGTGTAGGGAGTGCTGTGGGTTATTCTCAAGGTATGGCTGAGAAAAGAAGTGAATCCGCTTACTTTTATAGGTACTTACGTCTATGTAATCAACTATGTTGGCTTCTACAAGATCGGATCTGGGCTCCAGGAGACGGTTTTAGGAAAACTATATGCTTCGAATAGTTCTATTAAAGCAACGTGAGTTCATTTTTTTGCAACTGTGCAGAGTAATGCGACTGAGTTCCCGGAGAGGAAGCAGACATTTCAATTAGCGGAGGTATGCTAGATAAAAGCGCGTTCATACTCCGCGATTTGGCACGATTAGAGCGACGAAATCGCGAAGAATGGACCTCTCTGAGGGTCACAAAAGTGACGCTGTCGACGCCGAAAAAGACACGGCCAGTGGCGCTGTCAGTCATTTCCAAGGGCGCTAGGGTTTGATAGCGTACCTCCGTGACCTGATACAGTACCTTCCTTTAACATAGCTGTACAGCTTTATGAGAGATCTCTCGCCTTGATCGTTCAAGTTTAGGAGGAACTGTTTACTAACCTTCTGCAACGGATCGTTGTATCTGCGACGCGGGCAGTCGTCATGCATATCAGTGATCGATATCGATTCGTTAAGAGACATCGGAGAGGTGAGGCTTCGTTGTCGAACCCACACTCTTGTTCGCTGCAGATGCTGGGGCGTGTCCAGTGGGTTGGGTTTGGCTCGGCGCCAATCCGTTTCCCCTATTGGGGTCGATTTCCAGCTGTTCTGTTGGTGGAGAATGGGTTGGCGTCGTGTCAAATCCAGCCCCCTGATACGCCCCAGCGTCGGCAGTGAACAAGACTGACTGTTTCAGTATTATATCGTGTGCCGCTATTGGCTGCTGGCAAAGAATCTTCGCCAGATACCTTACTGATAGTTTATGATGACACTGATCCTATTACTTATTCCTGGCAGTGACTTCCTGGAGTCAGATCCATGCCTGTATTATCCCAGTTAAGCCCGGAACCACTTAGACAAGGGTTAGATGAGTTGCTCGGCCCACATCTGGCTTTCATGCCGTTCAACTAGTGGGTGTCACTTGCCTTTGCAACATCTCCGCTCCTTTGCAAAGATCATCTTCAGTTCCGTATTCTTTTGGTTAAACTATTAACGTGATGCCTGCACATCGAGTAAATAACAGCGATTTTAAGCTCCGTTCCGTTCTGTCAATTGGGACCTGCTGACTTTCAGGTTATACTGCCAACAGACTGCGTGCAGACCGCCTTATTCTCGGATGGTTCGTCTTTCTATCACGCTTCCGTTACCTCACAATCGACGCTTCACGTAAGTCTTACTGTAATATTTTTTCATAATTTTTTATAATTGGATTACACGCACATTTACTTTTTCATATTTTTTTCGTATTCCTGGTTGATATAACAAAGTACCGTTTTAGTTAGTACCTCTGAATGATTCATTTGTGCCGATAGCTGAACCAAAATCCCGTCACGCAGTTCGACTCACCGATGTTTCTTTCTGTTGCATGGGCGACACAAAATCGTTGCCATTTCAACTACCGATGACTATACCGAAGTACTTGCATAGTAAGTAGAAAATATCAAAATTTTCCTGACATTGTATTATTATTGTATTATTGCGACTAGAATTGTTTTTGAAAGGGTTCATTTGTAGGAAGTTGGGAAAATTTAGGAAGATGGTAGGTTGTATGGCGTACAGGAAGGGTGGAGGTTGTAACCACAGGACGAAATTT